GGTGCCTAACACCTTCCCTCGGGTCAACAGAATTCCTTACTTAGAATTTCTGGTTCGCAGACTTCATTTGGAAAGTCGAATATTTTCCTCGATTTGGGATTCAAGATAAACCGGTGACTTGGGACACCAAAAGCCAAACCTTTCCCAAGTGGCGACTCTGAATTAAATAAATAATCTCATTTCGAATATTGTCACTTAAATTGGAGAAACTCCCTCGCGCATTCAACCCTTCGGGGCGGGCGTGCAAAAAGGAGGTGTGACAGCAATTTTGGAGAAACATAAAAATATAGTTTCTCTCCGGAAGCACTTTTTGAAAAGCACTTTTGAAAAAAGGTAAGAAAATAAAGTATTAGGATTGGCAATATGTTCCTCAAATCTCACTCGAATCAACTAAGCCTTTTTTAACAAAATAACTCTACTCTAATTTTCTACTCTGTGCATAGAAACATCTTAAACATGAATAATATCTATTATAAGTCTCATATTAATCCTGTCAATTATTATACTGCAATAATCAAAGAAATAGAACGATATCAATCTGGAATCAAAACAACCTCTTTTCTGCACCCTCAGGGTTGTGCGTTGAATCACCCAATGAGCAATAGCTCCAACAAAGAGATCAAAAGAAAGAAAAAAAAACACAGATGCTGCGGATTTAGTGGAAGAAGTAGTATGCATTCCACTAAGCTGCGTGCACCCCTAGATAGTAGGCCAGGTTACCAAAAGTTAGCCATAGCTTGTCCTTACACTACTTTTTTTAGTTTAAAAATGATGACACCTTGCTATTTCGCATTATAACAGGTAGCGGGTAATTCTAGCTTTTTGCCAACCAAGGCTTGCATGTCCTTACAATATTTTTAAAAAAAATGATAACAGCTTGCTATTTCCCACCAGCACAGGTATCGGATAACTCTAGCTTTCAGTCAACCAATGCTTGCATGTCCTTAAACTACTTATCGTGTGTTAACCTTCATTTGTTATCCCTTGTGGAGTTAAAGCAAGCTAACTCTTGTCATATTGTGTATAATGCCATTAAGAAATAATTTAGGTTATAACACGAAAATCCAAGAGAAAAAGAACAAGAACCAGCAAGTTTGAACAGAAATCTAAAGTCAATCTTCTGAAAAAGCAGCACTAGTAGCAACCAATGACAAGGTGACTAGATAAAGCTTTACTACTATAATCATGCGACAAGCAATGGAAAGTTGGACCTTTCCTTTTGTGTGTGCTATAACTTTAGCTCACAATTGAGTTTAGCTCTCAATTTACTGGTAAAAGCTAGTTGATAGTACAACAAATAGGTAAATGGAAGGCAGATGTTCAGAAGTTCTTCCTTTTTTCCATAAAACTCTTGATAATACAACAAAGAAACGCAAATTTTCACACAGTTTTCTCTTCTCTTTTCTCGTGTATAATGGTTTGTTTTCTGCCCATACAAGAGTAAGACCAATAAAACAGTACTCTCCTATACATCGTTGCGACCAGTAAAACACATATAGAGATTCCTAAAAGAAGGTTATAGTAAAGCACAAACTTTTGCTAACCTCTCAAACACAAATGAACCGACTCTAGAAAGTCCTCTCGAGAACTGGTGTATAAAATAAACTCATTAACTTACATTTGATACTGGATAGAAGATGAACCTTGACTGCTTTTACCAAGGTTAGACGGCCCAGGGCTTGGAGTTTGCTTTATTTCGAGTCCCTTTCCACTCAGTGCAGCGCTCCTTTCTGCTCTGAGCTCATTCGATCTTGGACTGTAAGCCCTTTGCATTAACTGTGGGCTATGCACAGGCTTTATCTCTTGAAGAGGAGTTGGGGTTGAACTAGTTAATTTTGGGCTGCACGAATGTCGGATTTCCCCACGGCTTCTCGTCACCATTTCGTCAAGAATTTCACCGCTATCAATGCGGGTTGGTCTTGCCTGAACACCTTGATCCTGCAAAAGTATAAATCACAAAATTAAGAAAATGTTTCAAGAAAACTCAAATGTCTTGATTTAAGCTACTTGCACTGGAAATAACTGCAATATTCATCAGAAAGTTTTCCAGTGCAAATGTTAAATTCTGATCCATATATAACCTCATAATAACTGCCTTCACCCTGGAGAAACCATAAAGAATCTAATCTTTGTTAAAATGTGAAATTGATTGTCTTTGTCATAGAAAAAGAACTAAACGATATATAATGTGCTAACTTACTTCAAAGGACATATTGTAAGTTACAGCTGGGGCTTCTTCATATTCTGCAGCATCCAGATCTTGTAGATGTGCTCCTTTGAAAAACTTGGGCAGCAGATACTGGCGAACAGGGACAAGAAGCATGATCAACATTGGGAAAAGGACACCTGCTACTGGTATCCATGTTATGCCGAAACACAGGAGCAAATGAACTGTCTGAAACAAGGTGAAACCGGCAATTGTCTTGAAAGGAACTATCTCCACAAATGTCGCATGACTGTCTTCCAAGACCCTGAATAAGTTACAAATACAGAGAGAGGTAAGTGGATTTTCAAAGAAAGCTTGAAAAATTATTAGATTATGTGAGTTTCTAAAGAACTAAAACCCAGAACTAAGAAGTCGTGTCTTCTTTGGCAGTGCAAAATCCAGAGTCCTCTTCTGGAAGGATATGCAATGGGTATAATTCATGCATCCCTGTAACTTGCTAGCGAGATGGACACTAAATAAAAAAAAAGGATGTGGGGAAGAAATGTCGGGGGTGAACTATGGGCCTGATGCACTAATATGCATATTGACTATTGCGCAGAGACACTCACTTGTATCTTCGGCTTGGTGCAGTTAAAAGCAGTAATATCCTCTCCCAAAACTGATTTCCTGGCAAGCTCTCAATTGCCATGAAAGCAAAGTATCCCCAGAGAACTGAAGTAGGAATCTTTTTCAAGATAGGCATAGCAGCAACGCAAGCACCAGCCATTAATGCCTGAAGGAGATTGCTTAGGCGTTGTTCTTTGACTTGTACTGGTAAAAGATCATCAACATCCTTATTGACATCAAAGACAGTCTCATCAACTGGTGCACTAATGTAGCCCATACTGGATGCATGCTGAATTGTTGACTCCTTTAGCTCTTTGAGCCCCTGTTTGACGGAAGTATTACTAAGTTAA